ACTGCTGTAGCTGAACCCAGGACAGGGAGGCAAAAAGGTAGTAGACAGCACTCTGTAGTCTGCGCAAGACATATGGTTGTCTTTCAGTGTACGGAGACCTGATGCATGATGTGTAAAATAGTCTTGATTTGAGATGTTTGAATTTTCTTTTAATCTTCTCTTTCTCTACCGTGTTTCTGTATTTCTCTCGCACATGTATCCACTTAATTAGAGGGTATGCATGTCCACAGAGAGCTGTGCTAGGGGAAAGGGGATAATAGGGGAAGTAGCTCTGATTCATTGCAGAATGTTTACTACAGTAGGCAGAGGAGAGGGCAACAGTTTCTAAGGACTGTTAAAAGATAAGCACATGTAAAGTCAAAAGATGAAGAAGTAGTTTGCCTCCAGTGTTGTATGCCTGTGGGTTTTTTCTAACTTTCTTGAGATACCCATAGTAAAATCTTACCTGCTGAAAGTTTTTTAACATCCAGATTTCATCCAGTGTCTGAGACTTTCAAAAATTGCTGTTCGCTTGGCTATCCGCTGATCTAGTGCTTGGAAGGATCCTGTAGCCAGAACAGTATTATTCAGGTAGTACAAAGGAGATAACATGAAGGAAAAGTCATGTACATATTTTTTTCCATTCTTGCAAGGTTTTCAGAGGAGCTGGTAATAGAAAACCCTCCTTTCAGGCACAGTCAAGTAGTAGCAGTCCAAGTACTTGTCTGTATTCTTTGCATTCCTGACTTGGACTGAAACAAGCTGTGAACAGTAGTTTCTTACTTGCCTCCAGTTTTTTCTGTGAGGTGCTAATGAAGACCAGATATTGCTGAGTTACTAAGTTTGTTCCAGCTTTCTCTGAACAGCTCCTTTGAGACCAATGAACCTTAACATGGTAACATTTCTAACTGTTAAGTCCTTCTGATCTCAAATCTGGGCAGCCCCTGCTTGTTAAAACACTTCCTGTAATGAGGCACGTGTTGACATAGGCAGAGCCCAGCCTCTAGCTATTTCCCACTTGTAAGAATTACTGTTAATACCCACTTGTAAGAATACTGTTAATGACATTCTCACTGTTGGCAGAGTTCATAATGCCAACACAAAAAAACGAGCTGATGCTTGTGCAGAGCTGTAGGTACTCACAGTACTTTACAAGCCAAAAAAGGAATACTTCTGAACTTGGTAAGCCTAGCTCTCTGAACCTCTTGTTTCTAAGCTACTGTTTTTCAGTGCTTAGTGAATTATGAGTGCAACTTTCAAAAAGAGGGAGTAAGAAGACATCGTTCCTTGAAGGACCTTATTCACAAATCTTTTAAATCCACTATTGTCACTAGCTGAGGAGAACAGAGAGCCAACAGAGCACAGGGAGAGAGAAGGTAAACTTGGAAGCTGCAGTGCTTGTCCTTTGCTCCTGATAGTTTTTGTTTTAATGCTGTTGCTCACTGAATTGTCTTAATAGCTTTCTCTGCATGAGCTCTTAGATTAAGACCATCAGTGATGGAGAATGTAGAAGGTGGTGAATCCCTCAGAAAGGTGAGCACCAGAAACTTAAATCATTGATGACAGGAGCACAACAGGGTAGGCAGGCAGGCAGGTGAAACATTTCTTAGTGCTGTACTTTACATGCTCTGATCTTACTAGGCTTGGAGGAGATTCTTGTCACTGTGAGGAAAACAAAACAGTCCATTTCCTCCCGTGAGACTGGCAAGCTGCAGAAGGGAAGGTTTACATCTTTCCACCAGTCTTTTATCTCGTTCCTTTCTGGTCTTCAAAATATCTTCAAGTGCAAACAGTCATTGTGTCAAGCTGTGTTTTATGCGTTTTGGTGTGTTCTCTCCACACAGATTGAGAAGTTGCAAAATCAAATTGAAAAGGAGAAGCAAAGTAATCAAGATCTGGAGACCTTGAGTGAGGAGCTGATAAAAGATAAAGAGCAGCTGCAAGTCGTCATGGAGACTCTAAAAGCTGACAAAGACAGACAGGTGCAAACTTCACAAATGTGATCTAAAAGCATGTGCTTGGTAGTGGTAATTTAGTGATACCATTTAAAGCATCTAGTTCAGGGAGGTAGGGCAATTTGAGGGCTTTTAAGTGCAGGTTGAACTTGCTCAAATGTAGGTAAAAGGCTTCTTCAAGCAAAAAATCAGAGCATGTGATGCTAGCTACCACTCCAGTAGCTCCATAGGGAGATCTTCAGGCTGTTGTAAAGATAGACTTTCCCTCTTTGGGAGAAGAAAGCCCTGAATCTTACTAAATGGGATACTAACTGGTTTTAGGATGTGCAAATAAAACCCCAGTTTGTTGCAGAAGATTGGTCTTCTGCCACCTGTATGATTGGTTTGGTTGGGGTTTTTCTTAGCCACCCAAACTTTTTTGCTCTATTTTAAAAGACGCTGAGAAAGTGTATATGCCTTCTGGACTGATATTTTTAATGCCCTTAAGCTTTTACTACTGTGCTGCAGTTCATGTGCATTGCCTTGAAACTGTCTTATTATAGGTTCATGCAAGGTATCATCTGTATCAATTTGACTAATGAAGAAATGCAGACACAGATCTGTGTATTTTCACCCTGTATTAAGATCTGTTCCAAGCTTTGTGGGGTGAAGATTAAAGAACAAAATGTCTTATTTGTGTAGTATTTTTAATCTTGAAGGATTCTCCCTGGACTTCTACCTGGTAAACTGCGCTTTACCACCAGTCTCCTGCATTTTAGCTAGAACTCATACAGACTCTTTGTGGTAAGAATTAATGAATGCTTCACAGGTAGGGCAGGAAGTAAAACCAGAAGTATCCTCAATCATCAGAAAGGGCAGGTTCATATTTTTTCGGGTCTCAGTCCTTTTTGATATCTGTGGATTTTGTCTAGATAAGACTCAAATGCAAATTACAGTGTAAATCACAATTGCTTCAGCTGAAATTTGACCAGTGGGATAAGTGTATTGTTCTTACAGGAAGTGTGTCCTTAATGAGATCTACAACTGCTGTAAGTTTTCAAATGTTTCAAGTGTTTTGGAGTTTGTAAACCTAGACAGAAAGATACCATTTATTAGGAATGATTCCTTACAAAGCATCTTCTCTAAGGTGTTCTTTGCCTCAAACTTCTCAGCTGGTAGCAGGAATATAGGACTATTGATCTGTTACAATCACAGGTTAATAGAGGTAACTTTTTTTTCCCCATTACTTTGGTTTGTTGGTTTTAGTCAGGGAAAACTGTTGAAAAATTTGTCTTGAAGTGGACACGGTTTTGTTAACAATTATCTGTCTGCTTCAAGACTAATTTATACTGCACTTCATAGCGTAGATAAGTAACATTTGCATGATTGTTTTTGTAGATAAAGGACCTGAAACAAGAAAACGATCACCTTAATCAAGTGGTTTTGTCACTGAGACAAAGATCTCAAGTGAGCAGTGAGGCAAGAGTAAAAGATATTGAAAAAGAGAACAAGATCCTTCATGAAACAGTTACAGAGACAAGTAGCAAACTGAGCAAGCTGGAATTTGAGAAGAAACAATTGCAAAAGGATTTTGACCAGGTTAGAGAAAAAGTGGAAAGAGTGGAAGAAATGGAAAAAGAGCTCCATCGGCTGGAGAGGGAGAATGAACAGCTTACAAAGAAGGCAGCAGTGATGAAAATAGTGACGGAAAAAGTGGAAGTTCTTGAGCAGGAGAATGGGGATCTGGAAGTGGAAAATAGGAAGCTAAGAAAATCCCTGGACACATTGCAGAATATTTCCATCCGGCTTGGTGACCTGGAAAGGGACAATAAGCAATTGGATGAAGAAAATCTGGAGCTTAGGAAAGTGGTGGAGACGATGAGATTTACCAGCACAAAAATGGCACAGACAGAAGCAGAAAATAAAGAGTTGGAGAGGGAGAAAGAGGACTTAAGAAGGAATGTGGAAATGTTAAAAGCAATGAGCAAAAAATCAGAGAGGCTGGAGCTAAGCTATCAGAGTGTCAGCTCTGAAAACCAGAGACTTCAGCAAATTGTGGAGAACAGCAGCAAAAAGATACAGGAGTTAGAAAAAGAAGTACAGGGAATGGAGAGTGACAATCAGGTCCTCCAGAGAAACCTTGAGGAGCTAAAGGTTTCTGCCAAACGGCTAGAGAGATTGGAAAAGGAGAACAAAGCCCTGGAACAAGAAATATCTCAGCTTGAGAAAGACAAAAAAATGTTAGAGAAAGAAACAAAACGACTTTGGCAGCAAGTGGAGCTGAAAGATGCTATTTTGGATGATAGTACAGTAAAGTTGGCAGTTGCTGAGAAAGAAAACAAGACACTAGAAAAGGAAATTGCTCGATTCAGGGATTCATCTAACAAGCTGAAAGAATTTGAAAAAGACAATAAAGACCTCATAAAGCAAGTTACAATTGATAAAAAAACACTAGCTACATTGAGAGAGGTAAGCAAAATAATACTGCTGGTTTCAGTACAATGCTATTTTTTTATTTCAGCTCTGTGTAGTACCAAAGGAAGTCATCAGTCTCGTGACTACTTAATTCATGAGCTAGGAGATCTTCATAGCCTTACCAGCCATCACTGGATAGTGTTGCCTCTCAAAGTGGAACCTGCCAAAAATTGCAGTGTAACACTTTGTGTCTGCAAACACAATGTTTCCAAATGCCATCTTTATTCATGCTGAGTAGGGTTTTAACACAGTTCCCATGTGGTAGCTGTAAACAAAAAGTTTTGATACTTTCTCTACCCCCATGACCACAAAACTGTTAACTGCTAACATGACTCCGGCAGGGGAGATTGACTCTTAAGCATAGAAATTAGAGGGCTTATTGAGGACACATTAATATCTCCGTCTAAACCAGATTTAGTTAAGACAAGAACCATCCCAGATGACCCTCCTAACCCTTTCAATAACAGCTGCACCAAGTTTTTGCTTTACAACTGCTTACAGCTCTTCCCCCAAAATCTTCCCTGCAGATTGAGACCATGCTAAGCAGCTCTGCTGTTAAGCAGCAGTGATCTCCCGCAGTACGCCTCTCAACTGCAGAATGCAGTAATCGCAATGTTCCTAGGAGTGATCTTTTAAAAATACGCAATTAGCATTATGACATTGTCAAACTAGTAATATATGTGCCAGAACCTGACACTCAAAGTAGCCTATGGGCAGATTCAGGTTATTGCAACTTGCTCTTGTTGCCTGCCCCAGCTGCTGCTGTCTTGCCAGAAACAGGATTTCCTGTGAAAGAGCGTTCAAGGGAAAACAGTTGGTGCTGTGGTAGCTGAGTGAAATAAGTTTAGCAAGACTAATGTAGTAAGCAGTTACATACTCGTAGATTTATTTTAGTGTTTGAAACATTAGTGTAATTTTGAGGAGGAAAAAAAATTTTGTCACAAATGTTTGAAGCAGTCCCAAGTTGTGTTTCTATCCAACTTTCCTAAAAAACAAATAAAGTAATATAATTTCTGAGAAGGCTCCTTTTTAATCTTTCCCTTCCCAGACTTCTGCTAATTTCCAGTGGTGCAGACCCGTAAAGCAGTATACGTTTTTTTCCTTAGTTGCTTTCTATAGATTTTACAGAAGGAGTTCATGGATGTTGAAGGGACCTGTTTACAGGCTTTTTCCTTGCCGTGTGAATGAATATATGCCTAAATTTGTGATATCGGAGGACTATCGAATACCTGCAGTTTGTGTTTAACAATGTGTGGGGTTTGGGGTTTTTGGGGTTTTTTTTCTTGCTTCTGTTTGATATCCAGGTTATTTTTATTTCTTTCTTGAAGTGCTTCAGTAACTTTGTTGTTCTTGTTTAAGAAAACTTTGAGCAGAAAGATCAGCAGTACAGTTCTCTAAGGTACATTTGCATTTCAGAATACAATGAATGGTAGGAGTGATTTGTCCTTTTTAAACATGCTGGTTGGTATTATGTTTTCTCAGGCCATTTCCACACAGACCACTTGACTGGCATAACAACAAAGTGTTGTCTCAGTAAACCTTCTGGTACAGCTCCATCAAATCTGCTCCTCATATGACTTCCTTGTCTGGTTCTGCTTGAGATTCTTCCAAAGAAACCTAAATGAAACCAGAATAGGCCAGTAAATACCATCATAAGTGACCAAGCTCTCACAGTCTCCAGAGCCGTCTTGTTTCTTACCTGACAATGTAATTAGGATTTTTTTAATTTTGGCAGTATTTTGCCATATGTCAGAAACTCAGAGTCAGTAATGAATATGCACGATTACCAGGGGACTTGGTAATAACATCTTAATCATATTATTTCAGGAAACTTGCATGCTGAAGTCTTGTCACACTCTTCCGTGTGTGTGTTGGCTGGGCTTTTCAGCAGGGTACTTTGCCCCAGCTGAGAGGTGGGAACTCCCTCTGCTGGTGTCTCCTGACCTGCACACATCCCTTCTGCAGCACAAGGGATGTTTCCTGGCATGCACACATTCCCTACTTATGCAGGCGGGCAGAATGCCAGTATTGGCAGAAGTAATCCAGTACAGTGAGTGAGACAAAAGGCCAAAAGAAGCATTCTTCAGATTTATTCCAAATAAACTATAAATAAAAGCAGTTTAATTCTGTACTCAGCTGTCACTGATAAAGAATTGTAGCTGACCTTCTTGGAACTAGGATTTCATCAGTGAGGTTTTCAGTACTTTTTAAAAAATATACAGTGCTCGTAAATTATCACCACCCTTTGCATAGCAACTAATCATGGTAGTGCTGTTACAGGATTTGGTCCTGGAGAAGCTGAAGAGTCAACAGTTGTCTAGTGAGCTAGACAAATTGAGCCAGGAACTGGAGAAGATAGGATTGAACAAAGAGCTGCTGCTACAGGATGACAATGGCAATGACGACACGTAAGGATCCTAACTCGAGCCCTTTGCTTTTCTTTTTGGTTCTCATCTGTCCCAGTCCAATTACCCTTACCAATTTTGGATATAAAGCATATTTTTCTGTAGCTAGCTTGGCAGGATACTGCAGGTTTTGCAGAACTTCTTCTGCAGTGGAAGGAAGAAATGCCATTTTCTGTCTCTTATTACCACAGTCCTGCTCTACTCCCCAGTAGAGTAGCTGGGTAGCTATTTTAGCATGTATTCTTCCTTATATTCTCTTTACAAGTAAAAATAATGTCTAATAAACAATGTCTGTTATTACTCCATGTAACTGGTTAATATAAACATAGATGTTGCCTAAGAAATTCCTGATTGCAAGGAATTCCTTTGCATGTCGTATAGTAATGAACAAAGAAACCCTCACAACCCATCTGTATATAGGCCTCTTGGCCTAATTAGAGAAACATACCCATCTCTTAGGAGTCTTTAGAATCTGCTGTGGATTTTTCTCCTTGTCATGAATGTACAAAGGAATCATGAGAAGAAATTTCTGTAGTGTAACTGGGGGAAAAAAGAGGAAACACTTATTTTCTTTCAAGTTATGTAGCTGTTAGTTCTGTAGAACCGTGCTGGCGCTACTTCTATTAAAATTTTCCCAAGGCAGGTTCCCCAGCTATACTGTATCAGTAACAATCTGTGGCAGTAGAGAAAATCATTTTCCTGAAGAAGCAAACACATAACAATGTAAGGTGGTGAGGTTTGGAATGGGTGAAGGTGAAGTCCCCTATGTAGATGGTGGCTCATATCCTAGCAGCAGATACTGGAAAGCTGTTCTCATGTGTTTCAGAAAATACAAGATTCTGGAAAGCAAAACTGAATCAGCACTAAAAACAACACTAGCTGTAAAAGAGGAAAAAATTGCAATGCTGGAAGCTCAAGTGAAAGACTCTCTGAACTTGAACCAGCAGTTACAGAATGATCTAAATATGGTAAGAGGTTAACTGAATTTTAATTGTTCGCTATGTGGTTCAGTGCATTCACATGCATTTTTTTCTTTTTCACTCAGCAAGAACAAGTTATCTCTACTTCCTCACCCCTGTACATGCACTTCCCAAAAAAACTTTTTTGTCTGGATTACTTTCTCTTGTCCCTTTCTATATAACGGCACCAATTTCAGGAAAAATGTTGGGCTGGGTGCACAGCAAGAGGGTTTTGGTTTTGGTTGGGGTTTTTTTGCGTAACTACCATTTGCAGATTTCTTCTCCATGGCTTTTTCATTACCATGGTCTTTGTTTTGTGCTTTGCTTAATGAAAGGCTGAAGAAGACTGCAATTGAATCATTTCACCTGAGAACACCCTGCTTGTTAGGTGACAGTGAGTCAAAGGGCACCTCATTGGAGGCCAAGAGACATGGATTCCTCCACCTGTCTGTGTCTCAGTTCCCCCATCTGTGAAGTGAGGGTAGTGGTTTCTAAGTCTGTTGAAGTCCCTCCAGCAAAAGAGAGGAACTGCATACCCCATCATTATTAATATAAAATCCTGCTTAAATCAGTGTTGAAGGTTGTTGCTTGTTGGCTTTTCAGGTAAAGAAGGACTTTGATGCACTTAAGCAGACTCAACAGGATGGACAGTATGCTCAGAAGTCACTGAGGTATACTACAGAGAAACTCATTCCCAACCACCAAATGACTGAGAAGCTGGAAACAGGGCACCAGGAAGCTACTATGGAGCTGCTGAAACTGAAGGATAGGGCAATTGAACTGGAAAGGAATGTAAGTCTTCTCGTTTCCTGTTACCTCTCAGACTTGCCTTGCAATTATGAGTGGGTTGCTGGGAACTGGATTTTGACTTACAGGAGTCTTGTGGTTTGCTGGAGCACATTGTCTACCAAATTCTTCAAGTATCTTAGGAGCACATAAGAATTTTATACTATATATGTCATGTATAACACCATTGCCAGGGTTAATTCTATGTATAACATGTGTCCTACCTTTATTTAATGCTGGGAAGTTTGCTCTTGCACATTTGTTGCAGAATGATCATCACTAATTGGTTCTCATCTTTGATAGGACTACAAATGATCAAGACGGCTGTTTCATTTCATCCTGTCACCCCTTCTATGCCTTCTCTCTTTTAGAATGCAGCTCTACATACTGAGAAGCAGCTGCTTAAAGAACAGCTGAAGCATTTGGAAACACAGAATGTCTCCTTCAACAATCAGATCCTGACACTGCAGAAGCAAAATGTCTTCCTTCAGGAGCACAACACTGCCCTGCAGACACAGACAGCCAAACTCCAGGTCAGGACAACCATGCACCTCTCTGCCAGGAGGCTGGATTTGAATACAGTAGTGTGGAGAAGATGAGAGATATTAAGAAAACACTTGTATTGGTAGGCTGGGTGTAGTGTTGTAAAGACAAGGTCCACAAGGTGGAGCTTAGTTTGAGGTCTGGATTTCTCCAAGCTAGAAGGGAAATCAGCTCCGTAGCTAATGGGTGCTAGCTATCTTCCTTAAGAAGGTAGTTACATAGAGGGAAGCAAAATCCAGATGTGTTGTTCCGAAAGCTGCACTTTGGCAATAAAAGATCTTTGCTTTTTTTTCTGTTAATGGTATGCCTGTGAGAGAGCTTGGAAGAAATGGGAAGAGGACTCAAGTTAGCTCCCAAAAGGCATTGTAGCAATAAGTTCCAGTCACAGTTTTCATACTTTCATACAAAATGTCAAAGTTGCTGGAGGAAAACACTCTTAAAAGTTAATGTTGAAAAAATAAACTTAGCTTGAGAAAGAGAACAGTTTTAAAGGACAATATTGGATTAGCTCCGAGTTGTTGGGTTTTTTTTACTGTGACTTTCTCTTTTCAAGCTTTGCCTCTTACATATTCACAGATATTTTTCTTTTATTCTCTTTGTTTCTCACCTGTAATTGAAGTACATAAGCAACATAAGAAGTCAATGCACTACTGAAATCAGACTTCTATGCCCCCATACACAGTGGTGCAGATAATTTTGTTGATTTTGGGTGAACATAAGTTTTCTTTACTTGTACACAAACCTAAGGTAACTTTTAGCTTTGTACATGATTTAGAGATGCAGCTGAATTGCAAATATTCCAGCTTATCTTGGTCTTCCAAGCTCAAATGCTTCTACTGGTAAAACAGTGTTTTTTCAGTTTAGAGGTTATCCTGTTATTTTCTGACTGCTGAAAACATGACTTTATGTGGTGCACACTACCAGCAATAATACCAAAACAATGAGTAATTGTCCATAGATGTCTTAAGTCTACAAAGCAATGAATGCATTCTTGAATAACTATATACAGATACAAGCTGCTGCTACTACATGTTTGTTGTATGTGTCAGTAGGTGTAAATAAGTAATACCTGCTTTTTATTTGAGAAACTTTAGGTAGAAAATTCAACTCTCAGCTCCCAGAGTTCTTCACTGATGGCCCAGAATACTTTACTCCAAAATCAGCAGACAGCAAAGGAGAATGAGAATGAAAATCTACTGAAACAGAAGGAGCAGCTGAAAGCTGAGTACGAGTCATTGCTTCAGGACCATGAACACCTTGCTTCACTACATGAACGGCAGTCTGCAGAATATGAAGTGCTAATAAATCAGCACAGCTGCCTGAAAACATTGCACAAAAACCTGGACCTGGAGCACAAAGGTCTTGGTGAGAGGTATGCTCACTGCCCAGGAGCACAAAATAGCCAGAATGTGCCCATGTTACAATTTTAACCTGAAATGTGGGTCTCCAGTTACAAATTGAAACTACTCAGTCATTCCCCTGAAAAAGTGTCTTCTCATTCCTGC